AAAAAAACTACTAATATCCACAAGGAAGCTAAGAAAACAATTTACGCAATGAAAGATTGACAGTAACAAAAATTCTTATTAGAAAAAACCCAGGCATTTCCTTGCTAAACCAATCATTAACATAATATTAGACCAACGTAGCTATTGCCACAAAGAAAGTTAATTTCTTCATGTCTTTACGAAATTTGGAAATCAACAGTTCGCTTTGGGATAGATAACTTCCATTGAAAACAGCTTTTCCTTGGATTATCTTTAACAACATCTGTGCAGTTGAGTTTATTAAAAACCATTCAAGGTATTTCTGGATTGTAGGACACTGACTGTTACAATTCTCCGTAGCATAAAAATCAATGTCATGATGAAGCAACAAAAGAACCAGTAAAACATGAATACAAGTATATTCCAGGGATTTCCAGATTACAGAAGCAAGATGATCAAGATCTTTTGATGAAATTACTCGAATAATCCACGGTTTGCACACCAAAAGCTATACCAGAGAAACAACAAAAGCATCATGAGAAACTGAATAAAATTTATAATTTCAGATAGTCCACCTTATAACCAAGAAAACCCAACCCAAATAAAAATAAATTTGCGTGGCAAATAAACAAAGATAACATGACCCCCATGTTTCCGGAAGCATCTTGCCCAATAGGGCTAGGGATTAAATAAAATGTTGAAACTAATAGACTCGATAAGAATTAATTAAATCGAGCAATCAAATGCTCTATGAAAGAACGACATTTAAAAAATACATATTCTAGCAGAATCAGGAAATTTTCTAAAAATTCTCTCCAAGTGCCTAACACTTCGGATTAGCATATCGGTAGCTGACCCCATTGGTACCAATTAGGGCAACTGATTAACCTAGTCACGAGAATCGTGTTTGATTTCCCCCTTTTTCTATTGACCTAGTCGTAAACATAGAGTGAAAAATTAAAATTTGATTTTTTTTTTCCGGAGAGATTTTAATACGTTCCAAGGCATAATAGAACTTTTTCGTATGTAAACCCATCAAAATTTCAAATCTAACCAGAAAAAAAAAATAACAACAATAAAATCCGAAAAAGAATACATACCTTATAGAATGAATTAGCTGAAGGCGAAGATGAAGAAGAAACATCGAGAGCAGCGCTTACAATCGGTTGGCCACGAGTGGGGCTTGTCCACATGTGCCGAGTTCTTTTCCTCTCCTCACCTTCCCGCCCATGCATAGCCTTGCATTTTCCCAAATCCAAGCCTCAATCCCAGCTTCAAACCCAACGAGTATCATCAATCCCACCTTAACCCCACAACAAATCCCAAGCAGCCTCAAAATTCACTAATTACAGCGACGCGAAACCCTAGATCCGCCCAAAACCCTAACTCCAGCAACATCCCAGGCAAAGAACACGAAACCCTAATTCCACGACTTTTTTCGAATTTAACCGAGATGAATTCAGGGCTTTCCACAACGATAAACGGATTCAATCGAAGCACGGATCCATACAACGGGAGAAATAAAAGAGGAAATTTCGAACGGTGTTTCGATCTCGGGAGAGAGAGGAAGCGGGAGAAATGTGGAGAGAGAGAAAGATTGCAAGAGAAGGGGGGCATACGGGCTAACGGGAAAGGCGTACTTGGTACTTGGGGCAGAGCTTCAGAGGGGGCAGATCGGGCAGTTTGGGCAGGAGAATGATAACGTCACAGGCAGGTGAGGCAGAGGGAGCCACGTGTAGAGAATATGACATGAGATTGCGGTTGGGAAACCCAAAACGTTGACTGGTCCCATTCCTCGTTTTGACTTTCTATTATTTTTTCAGCGTTTCGCACTGAGATCTCCCGGCCATCTCATAACACATTTGCGATCACGCTGACACAAACCAGTTTGATGAGTTTGTTCGTTTCTCGCATCTTTCTTTTTCCCGGTTTACTCAAGGCAGATTGGGGAACAGTCTGCTTCCCTTTTTTTTAAAAAAAAAAGTCGTCAATTTATTTTAAATTTATTACTTCAAATAGTTTAAATTTTAAATATTTTATTTTAAACTAAATTTACTTTGGACAATTTATATTTAAAAACATTTCGCACTCATATCTATTTTAGTCATTTTACAACCAAATTTATTTTCACTCAACCATAATCCAAACAACCTTTTGCCCTTCTCACTTTTGCAAACTAGTTTTTCTGAACTCCAATCTAAACACAATTCAACTTATCCAATTTAGTTTTTACCCAATTTTACTTCTCTATAAGCTATTTTTTTCAATCACTAATCCAAACAGACCCTTTATATTTAAAAACATTTTGCACTCAATTTAATTTTTTTTGGGGTTATTTTCGATCCATAAGTTTTATCCCCAGTACACGAGGAGTTGATGCGTGATGATTGCCAAAAAGGAAAGGGCTTTTTTGTGAATTGACATTTTTCTAGGGGCAAAGAAGGAACAGGCTATTTGGGAGGGGTACGATTTAAATGAAAGCATTTATGATGGAGGAAGTTAAGGTTGTCTTCCAGCAAATATCAAGGGAAGCCATAGCACGACGTGAACAGTGTGGTTTCTGCCCGGAAAAACCATGGTTGAACTTTCCGTCACTCCGTTCAGCACCAAGTTTCCGCTACACAAGCCATTTTCCGCAATAATTTCACTTTGGTTTTTAATTAATTATTAATGTCAAGTTGTGAAAATAAGGTTTTTAAATTAAAAATAGATTTGAAAAAGAAAAGGCAGGCAACTCTGTTGAATTGCGGCTTTGAATGATACACCAAACGCCAAGTATTTGTCATGTCTTGTTAATGTGGTTTTGAGTCATAGGTATTGTGTTTCAGGCTCAATTACGTCTGGCTGGCCCATTGTAAATCTAAGAATTAAGATCGCGATTGTTTCTTGTTAGACTTGTTCATGGAGCTTTTAATGGGTCGGACCAATAATTCGTCAAGATCCCCGTTTATTACATCAATAAAATAATGTATGGTCATCTTTTTTTTTTTAGTAAAAATGTAATGGACAATTGAAAAAACACATCATCTGAATATCTCAATATTTTTGTACATAAAAAATTGTCATTTTAAGAATCATTCAGAGTCAGTTTGCTCCGCTGATACAAAACAGAATTTAACACGTCTTTCCTATAATAAATATTTGAATAAAATACTCTAACCACCCCTCAGTTTTACCTTAATTACATAGGCATCCCTTCTATTTTGAAAACCCATATAGACTTCCCTTACAATTAAAATACAGGTTACACTAACCTCCTTTGTATAACTGATATTTTATTTCCATCTATCCAAACTATTAGTTAACTGTTAATTTTAACTTTTTAAGCTCTTTTTTTTTACCAAAATACCCCTCTTTATCATAAGAGCAACCAAGAACTGCTTTTAATACATGACTTTTCAAACTTTTTAATATATTATAAAATTTATTAATTTTGAATTTATTGTAAAATTTTATAATTTTAATTTTTCATCATATTTTAAATTTCTTTATTTTATTTTTTAAATGGTTAAAATATATATCAAGCACATATTTTTACTCACTATATAGTATAAAATCTATAGATTATTAAGGTCATTTGAATCTATAATTTAAAATTGTTAAACACTACAAACATTTATAAACACATTAAGTTTAGATTGAAAACATTAAGCAAATAACTATTTGCAAAAATAAGAAAATAAAAATAAGGAAAAATAAAATAAAATATTGTTTAATGTAAATTTTGGGGATTGATTAGAATGGGTAAAATAGTAAATAAATTTATTATCATATCAATTTTAATTAAAATTATGTTCATAGAATCTTTTGAGAATATTCTTAATGGCGTTAACATATTAGATTAAACGGTATGTTTTCAAAATAGAGGAGAAGTTCGTGTAATTAAGGTATAATTAAAGGTAATCAATGTATCTTACTCTAAATATTTTATACGGTCAGGTCATGCATTTATTTCCTTGGAACTATTCCGAACAAACAGGCCAACTCTAGACACCCTGGTTCTTTGGACACCAATTATGCCTGGAGGAAGCGACGTTCGACCATATATAAACGCAATCAAGTTCAAGGATTGTGTGGCCTCAATCTTCGGTGCCTAACCTCCACAATTTTGGCTTAAATCCTAAATTATTTTCAACATATTACCAATTCCAGCAATCATTACGGCTGGGATTCTTTCCTCCACCATGCAACACCACATATGCTTATGCGAGCATGTTTACTTTCTTTGTATATGTTTAGTCTCACGTATACAAATATGCTGGCCCAAAAAACAGTCTCACAAAAGTCTCGTGTACAAATAACTTCATAAGCAATTTCTTTTGTCGAACTTCCATTATAGAGCTTAACTGTCGTCTTTTACAATGTGGTTGGCTCCGGATAAAAGGGAAACAGATTGAACATTTAGGATGTAAATCTCTCGCATGGCGTAGGAAGAATGAAAAACCTAGGAATTAAATTCCTCCCGCCATAAAAAGCACTGCTTTGGCGTCAGAGAAGTATGCCATGACCTTATTTCATAGGCATTCGCCTATTAATGTGTCGCATGATCAAGTATTTGAAACCTTTTCTTTTTTTTCAATAGAAACACCGTTTGGGCTACAAGTCGTTACCTGCCTCATAAATAATAGCGACTCACCTTGAGACTAGGAAAATCAAATATGAATCCATAAACAGGCCAGCAAAAGTCCTCTAAACAAAGTTTTCTAGACAAATAGACCCCCTCGAGTGAGCAAGGTTACGCTGTATCAACATGGACAATAATGCTTTCGGGTGCATATACATTGGAAGTCATCAGAGGGCATTTATCATCCTCTTCATCTCAGCAGACCTCCTGGGGTCTGGCTCATCAATTGCTCTCTCTGTAAGCACCTGCTTGATGCGGCACATCGACTTTCTGACCTGATTTAACATAACAAATGTCAACAAGAATCAATGACGATTTCGTTGCCGTGATCCATCAGAAACGAATTCAGCATGTGGCAAAAATGATTCCAAACTAATAAACCCCATACACACCTTGGTATTCAAAAGTGCAATTTCCCTTACTCTCACAGAAGTACCATGACATATAGGAAAACAGAGAACTACCCAAGTTTTCTCAGCATATGCAAATAAAATTAACAGGAATCAATTGTCCTTTAGTAAGATTCCCAACAATTATTTTGCTTGGGAAGTTATCAGAGGAATGAGTTGATTATTTAGCTCTTTCGCTCTGTCATTCTCCCAACCATAATATACCTTGCAAGCCCAACAAACTTACACGTACAGACCAAGCCATGTCCACCACACATTATGTATTAGCAGCATGGTGGCTGGAATTTTGGAGGAAAATTTGGTGCACATAACAAGGATTTCTACAACAATCTATCTTCATCGCAAAATGAGATTGTTACCGACTTTTGTAATATGCAAATCCATCAGGTCTCCAGTTAAAAGGATTGAGACTATAATCTGCCTTCACTGAGGAATGAGAAAACCACCTACTTTTGTAATAAGCAAGCCCAACAGGTCTCCAGTAAAGAAAGAAACTGACCATCAAATGCTAAAATTCTCAAATTAAATTAAGAATTAAATATTTTAGCAATCCAAATCATCTCATTCATGCCATGCAATGTTTTCACACTTAAAAGATTCTATAGACGTCTCATCATATTTATAGTTAAGATGCTACTCCGGTTCAGTTTCTACATCGACCAAGCAAATGCAATTTATTATTTTGTAATGGCGTATGTAAAGAGCAATCATAGACAATTTCCAACAAATGAAAACCCATTTTCTGATAGGTAATTAGCATAGTTTTTATTAGGCAAAAATATATTTATTCATTTAATTTTTGGTCATTTGGAATTAGATTAATTTGGGAGTAATATCATACTTGGATTAAACTAAAAAAATATCTTAGAACTAAAACTAGAAGAAATATTATATTTTATTTGCTTTGTTCGCATGATGTCAGAGTTAGCATTGCTATAGGTAAAAATTTAGTTTCACAAAAACATGTTCTGTTAAGTTGTTGTGAGGCCAAAAAGTTGGGTAATTTATTGCTTCCAACCAAGTCAAACAATTCGAATCAAAGATAAGTTTCTAAATTCTTCTAAGCCAAAATGGTTAAAAAGAGAAACCTAGGTGCATAATGTTCAAATCTACAGGTAAAAAAACTTGCCAAAAAAAGAAAATGGGCACCATTATTATACGCCAATCATCCATGGAAACAAAGGTTAAAAACAGCTTATTTGAAAAGCTGAATAAATGCAAAGATCTGAACTCTGAAGTATATAGTAGCACCTTAGGGATGCGTTCTGGGTTAGAAAAGCGTAGATTTTGCGCATGAAGCATCTGACGTTGAGTCATCAACATGTTTTTCTCCTTTAACAACACAAACCACAGTTTGTGAAGGTCGTCCCAAGACTTTAGACGCAGCTCAGAGGCCTTCCAACCCCGACCTTATGATAACAAATAAGCAAAAGAGATTGAATTAAAAAAATGTTGGTAGCAGCTAGAACCACTATAATAGGTAAGAGAGCAGTGAACTGAAGACCAAATTCGATAGACCCTAATGTCTGAGAAAAATGAACTTCACTAAAAATAAACTTATCATAAAAGATAAGGGGGAAAGGATACATTATAGTTTATCCTTGTGCATAGATCTAAAATCCGTTTGCCCTCTTGGGATTTAAACTGAATCATTCAATACAACTCTGATTTGTTCAACCATCATTTATCCAACCTATATTATTTTACAGTTACATGAATGTCAATTTCATTGTCAAATGTCTATTTCACTATGTTTTTAATATTTCCAGTGTCACAAAACTAATGCCAGAATTAAGTGGTATGTTTAAACTTGGAAAGGTCAGCTTAACACAGGATAACAAGACGATTTTAAGATAAGCATAATGACACTTTTAATAAATTTTCTTCTTTTTTTTTTTTCTCCTTTGCTTGGGCACAAATATTTTCCTATTAGAGGCAATCCTGTTCAAATCAGTTGAATACTAAACACAGACACCTTTCCCAATAGGAATTCAAACCTTAGTTCGTCAAGTTGAAAGGAGCTAGCCCATTCTGCTAGGCCCAATTCCGTTCGGTAACTTCCAATACATTTTCAACAATTAAATTGTTCATCATAATAATCTTTACATGATCATTCTGATTTGAATTAAGACCAGAAACACTGAAACACAGCAGTGCAATTAAATGGCAATGAACTAAGGGAGAGTTACAATGAGGTCCCAAGGAAGAAAAATAATTACAAAACAAGTCCCAGAAGTTGTCATTTTCTACTCTGGAATTTGGTATTACATACTGTTTAAGTTGTTTTTGGGATTTTTTAGTAATTATTTTCCTTCTTTGGGATCTCATTGTAATCCTCTCATGAAACAACATAGAAGAGTTAAATAAGACCCTTAAAACTGTGAGGGTGGCCAAAAGCTAATATCTAATTTAACACCCCCCCCAAAAAAAAAAAAAAAGAGGCTTGATGCGCTAATTGAAAACCATCCATTAACTTTGATGTGACATTAAAGACAGAGGATACACCTCACATCAAATGAAGCGGTACATAAATCCAATTCGGGCATATACTCATACATAGACCTAGACTGAGTGACTGATGTGGAGCGTGTTTCTGTCGCAGTCCACCACTGTATCTATATCTATGAATTACAAAGAAAAACAAGGTCAAACTTATTTCAAACTCCCAGACAGATTGCTTGAAACCCCACCCAAAAAAAAAAAATATTTTCAACATTCCATTCAGGTTATGCTAGGCGCATGGTCAAGGTGGGAGGCATGGAATCAGAACATGAGCGCACCAAAAAAAACAGAGGGAGATTACCTTCTGAATAAAATGTCCATTATATCTTATTATCATTACCCAACAATGTCCGTTCATCTTTCTAGTTAAGGTACAACAGTCATTTCCATTCACATCAGCATTCCCTTTCCCTTTGCCTTTCCCTTTCCATAACCAACATTCCATTATACCAAGCATAGCCTTAACACCATTCTCTTACACACATATATCCATAGACAAAATCCCATCCCGGTCAATAAAAGACTGGTAGGAAAAACTAAAGCAATGAAAAGGTCCATACCATATACAACAGGCTTGTCATCATCTGGGCTCCTATCTGCCTCAAAAAACTCCTGAAGAGGGTTATATCCTTCCCTGGCTGCGTTCGCGGCTGCAGCAGAAGAGGCGGAAGTCTCTGACCTAGCAGCAGCTAATAGTGTCCTTCCCAATGCTCTTGATAAAAACATGACTGTAACCAGTCAGATTGCTGCATGGTAGTACATTTACAAGGTAAGAAAATAGAAAGAAATGGCACTGTGTATATCGTACATCTAGAAAACCAGTCTTCTACTTGGAGCAAGTGAAGAATCAATAACCATTATGGAATAAAATCAGCTTTCAAAGACTGCGAAGAATGACTACTCGTTGCAAAAGCACAAATGAGTTGAACTATATACCAATCTCATCTAGTAAAACCAAATCAAAAACATGCAAATAATCAGAGAATAGATACCATATTTTGCAAGAGCATAACATTCTTCAGATCACTTCATAATCTCAGAAAAATGCATATTCAACCAAATCAAAAGGTGCTATTGCAGCAATAAATATGAATCATAAATTCTGTAAATTCTTCCACAATGGCAAGCCTAATTCTACATCAGTAAATATGAATCACTAGTAGAAACAACACTGACATGATAAAAAAAAAAATACTAAATAGATAAACGCCCTATCTCCTCACACAGCCGTAGTGGAAAGGTAAAGGGGCAAATTGTGGCAGTAGTTGGTAAACTGTCATTGTTGACATTGACATGATTGGGTGAAATACAAATTATATGCGGGCAACTTGAGACACAGACTGCAGACTTTTGTTTGTGAACCAAATGAGGTGAGAAGGACAATAATAGGTGTATGCATGGTACATGTAGCACTAGGAAAACAGGCGGCTGTCACAGATTCAGACCTAAACAGGCCAGGCGTTTAAGCACTGGTCCCAAAAATAGGTGATTTTCTCAGGCACAGCCATTGAATTGACCGGCTAAGAGCCAGCCCGCATGCTTTTGGCCCGTTTAACTAAATTTTTTTTTTTTTAGTTTCTTGCATATCTTGTCAAAATAATGAAAATGAAAATGAAAATAAATATGAATAAAATTAAGTAACATACATAAACATCATCATATGTAAACATACAAAACATCCATGGCAGTGCAATAGAGTCTAATTTTATTGTATAAATAAATAAATTCACTTCACAATAATTCCTCGGGCAAATTTTAATCCAACATGTTAGCAAGAATGATTTCTTATACAACTTAAGCTGTTTCTTTCGCCTCAATAGTCAATTCATACATCGCTGGTAAGTCCTGGTAAGTCTAATTTTTAATCTGGAAAATCATATATCTGATTTTAATTCATTTTAGAAGAGTAGAGTATTTCCTTTAATCTGCTACAGCATTCAACAGAGTATGAAACAGGGGTTACTTCAGTTTAAGCTTTGGACAGTGTTGAGAAAAGAAGAAGGAATACAATTGATTGTTACAGCAAGAGAAGCAAGCAAACACAAGGGTACTGGTCAATCTAACATTTACATCAGAATATACATATATAGATCTAACACAAAGAGAAGTAACATATATGAGCAGGAAATCTAAATCTAAGATACTAACAATCAAGAATCAACCCACGGGCACGGCGAGGGGGAAGAAGGAGCAGTGAAGCACGGCTGCACGGGAAAGGAAAGACGAGATGCGACTGTGCGAGAGGAAGAGGTGAGGGCGCTGCCCTCTGCTGCTGTGCTCTTGGCCGTCGACCGTTGTGCGCCCTGCGTTCGAGATCCTGCGTCCTGCGTCCGAGCTGAGAGAGAGAGCGAGTGATTAAAGTCTCTGAGAGCTGAGAGAGTGAGTTAGGGTTTTTTTTGAAGTTAGGGAAAAAAAATATAAATATAAATAGATAAGATAATAAGTTTGAATCAGCCAGCTTGTGACTCTGCAAAGCCAGCCTGTTGAACTAATTTTTTTAAGCTCAACTTATCTTTAAAGACTCTAAATTATAAGTCTGGCCTTTGACTTATACAGGTTTGAACGGGTTAAACCGATAGGCTCGGCTCATTCTTTTAACTTTTAGTATATGAAGTGATTAGATAACTCTGTTTATTCTTCACACATGCTTTCCTTTCATTTTGCTTTGTTCCTAAAGAAAGGCATTAGGCGTTATTGCTTTTTATTTGCAGCCACATAAAATGGCGACCTTAATTATGGTTGGTTATTTATTGAAAAAGTTGAGCTGCTATTTTCACCCCTTGCCTCCTTTTGATAATGTAGCTGGACGTGATTATGTATATCACATCTGATTTGTATCATTGTTTGCATAAGAAATTATGTATTTATAGCAGTGTAAAATGCTTGTCAAACCAAGATTCTATACAAAACAACCAATCTCAAACAAAAGTAAAACCAATAACCTAACTCCTTAGTATAAGAAATCAATGCTGTGAGGTTAGTGGTGACGGACGGCTCTTCCTCTCTACCCATCATTTAACTAGAACAGTGGAAATAAAGAAGAAAAAGATATATAAACTTTCTCACCCAAAAAGAGAGAGAATAATGCCAAGCTTTAGTGATCTTTACAGTGTGGAAGACGATATCGCCATTCCAAGCTTCAATGATTTTGAGGATGGCAAGGTAATCTCACCTCTGTAACAATCCTGAATTCGTATTTCACTTCTAACGAGCAAGGCAATCTCTTGATCAAGAACCTTCCAAGAATGATCGTGATATGGACGAAGAACTTTTAGGAGCTATTATCTCACCAGAACGATCGTAATATAGACAAGAGGCTTTGGGAGCTAGGGTTTGACAACATGATCCCAAACTCAGCATTTAATAGGGACCATAAACGACCTCATCCTGTTTACAATTCGCTAGAGGCTGAGTGGCTCACAGATCTATGTACAAGAACTAGGCTCCTAATTTTAGCCAATCGAAGCCACCTTTAATACCATGTCAAGTTTACTAGCAAAGAAAAATACAAGAACTGGGCTACTGAATCTATCTCTGATGCCACATTAAGTTTACCAGTAAAGAAAAATACAAGAACTGGGCTCCTAATATTTTAGCCCATTGAACTTGCCTCTAATACTATGTTAAGTTTATCGGTAAAGCAAAACAAATTAAGAAATTACTGAATAATTCATCATTATTGATAAAAGGGCTAAAAGCCCAAAATATAACGACACAACAATGCAACGAGTCAGGCCTTATTTATGCACAATGGGTCATAGACCAAATACCTATTTGTCCTCTAAATATTTCAATAATAATGTCAATACAAAATAATCTTCTTAACAATTGTAATATATAGTAAAATGTTTGTCTACCTTCTTCAGTCTCAAGAAAAAGTAAAACCAATAACCTAACTCGCATGTAGTCATACTTATCCTAATAGATGTTGTAAAATTTCCATCAGCAAGCGCCTGTGGAGGATTAATCCGGATAGTGCGGGTCGCTGGATAATGGGTTTTAAACGCTCATTGGGACTATGCTCTGTCACTGAGGCCGAGCTGCTAGCAATTAAACATGGGTTATAGATTGGATATCATCTGGGTTTCGACAAAATTATCATCAGTTCATACTCCTTAAATGCTTTCAATCTTCTCATGAGGAAAAATGCACCTGACCACCCTTTGCGTAGTATTATCCGTGAGGTAAGAACTCTCTTGCTTCAACATGGACAGACTGAATTGCGTCATACGAGTAGAGGTGCTATCAAGTGCGCCGATCTTCTAGCTAGAGAAGGACAATCAAATGCTGAAGAACTAACTCTCATTCCGGAGGTTCCAGCGGGATGCTGGGAGACTTTCTTGGAGGATTTGCAAATTAATCGCCAAACTCCCCTAGCTTAGACATTAGTGGGTTTTGTTTCTGTTTACTAGTTTGACTCTTTTTTCTCAAGCTTAGCTTGCCTTGTAATCTCAAAAAAAAAAAAAGATGTTGTAAAATTTTCATCTAAAACCGATGATTTGCTTACTCCAAAATCAATTAAGACTCTACTATGATAAAAAAAAAAAAAAAAAACAGTTACATAAAGCTACCATAATAGAAAGGTTTTAACTTATCCTTTAAGCATTTTTTAAAAAAAGATTGAGTAATTAGAACAAACAAAATTATGTTAGGAAGGAATCAATCCCACTAGTATGGTTATAAGAAAATAGGCCCCCAATTAACACAATTATCAAACATGAATGCTTTGAACTGGCCCTCTAAGCGTCAAGTCCAGGTATAACAACAATACTAAGCCTATTATTGAAATAATATATAATACATACGATAAATAATCACAGTTCATCCACAAAAGTAGTACGCAGAATCCTAAGGCCTCCACCCTACTACCAGTATTTAAACACAATTCAATAAAACAATAATAAGTTAAATAAACAAATCTCTAATCGATGGAAAGTATGTAAAAGATAAGGGCCCTATATGGCAATATACAATTCATTCGACATGTTCAAAAAGAAGTGGAGGCAGTACAAGAAGTTGTGAAAGCTTGGGTCTCCGAATTATTCTTTGACAACGCACTCCTAGAACTTTCACCTAAAAATAGTTTAACCATGAATTGAGACAAAATCTTTAGTAACCAACAATCTAGCTCATCGTACATACTAATATATACTAGTGAGGTGTTAAGTGGGGCAGATATACAAACATGTTTACACACACACACACATATCTTAACATTAAAAACCTCAAGTCTCATAAAAATGCATCGATATTATCATGTAAATATAATCCTAATAACCACATTTCCTCATTACTACTCCGTTCCTTATTATAAGATTTTTTTAACTAAATTACGCAGTTTAATAAAATAGTTAAAATTTGTTAAAAGTAATTAATATGTAGCAAATGCAGTTTTTTTTTTTCAAATATACCCCTATATATAAATGGATAAATGTGAGAAAGTAATAGCGAGATAAATAAAGAAAGAAAATATATTAAATACATTAAATTAATGGTAAAACAGGTAATGCTGCATTAAATGTTCAAACAAACTCAAAGAGGATCTTATAAAAAGAGACAAACTCATTCAAAAAATTAGATCTTATAATAAGGGACGGAGGGAATATATGGAAAGTATGAGCCAAAATAGCTAATTTCTCACTCTGAGAGATAAAACCTGAGTCAATCCCTTACTATGAGGTGATATGAGCAAAGGGGAACGTTCCATCTTTATGGGGGAAACATTGTACACCAACCATCATGTATTAATAGATGCACTCATCAGGTAACGATAATAAGCATATTTCACTCACTAATTCCCATAATATGCATCATGCTAAAGAAATCCAACAAAAAGTCAATTTCTAATTTTATAATCCATTTCCAAATCAAAGTCTAAGGTATATCACAAATCAAAGGATTGCATTGTCAACACGCAGTCCCACAAGATATAGTCATTTCCAATATACCAACGTAATTTCAAGTATATATCAAAATAACTTTTATAATTCTAAAATAATAAAGCTACTCACAAACAACATACTAATATATATAATAAGTAAAAAACGGTTACCTCTTGTTTAAGATAGGATCAATTACCACAAAAACTACCCCATGCACAATACACCAATCACACACATCACCACATATTAGTTAACAAACCAATCAAATGCTTAACAGTAACAATTGGATACTTAAATCCCTTGACTTATCCCAATCCTCAATTCAACTCCAAATTGACCTTCCCAAAACTCAAAAAACTATCCCAACAGGTCAATAGAATTCTCAATTGACTCCTGATTACACCAATTGATCAAAAGCCCCAATTTCACAATCTAGGGTTCATCATAAAAAAATACTCAAATTTGAAAATTAACTCAAATTAATATTCTAAACTGATTAAACATCCATTATAAATTATATTAACGTAACCCAATCATCAAACCTCATTTCCAAACTCCATATTGTCATCTACTATAAAAAAAAACCTCCAAGAATCATAAACTTTAGCCTCTAAAATCCTCAAAACTCCTAATCCAAGAAAACTAAATCGATTAAACACTTAACCTAGTTCATATAAGTTATTTATACTCAAAATAATCCGTCAAAATCTCAGCCCATTCTAAACCATTGAAAAATCTTAAGATTCAACTAGCTTAACCTTGCAAAATCAAAGAGAAAAGGGTAAATAAGAGGTTAGGAACACTTATTTGGGGCATCAAAACCTTAGAAATATTTCTCCAAGTCCAAAATTTCAAACTCTAGTAAACCAAGGCAATTCTCCCCCTAAAAACTTCAATTTCACTTCTAAAACAACCTCTCATATTTAAGGGGATGATTTACTGGCTTTGCAATAATTGCCGCGGCTATTTCCATCAATTGCCTTAACACTTTACACAAAAAGAAAAATCACTAATTCTTCCTAAATAACTGCGGCTTTTTCCACAAATCGCCTTAAAGAATTGCACAATTGCCGAGCTATTTCCTCAAATTGCCGCGGCAATTTACATTGAGGGGAGGATTTACTGGCTCTGCAATAATTGCCGTGGCTATTTCCACCAATTGCCTCAACACTTTGTACAAAAAGAAAAATCACTAATTGACTAATTCTACCTAAATAGCTGCGGCTTTTTCCACAAATTGCCAGTGGCAATTTGCACCGAAGTATTACTTCTCCTATTTTTCAGCCTTCAATCCAAACCTATGCTATCCAAACTCTAATAAACCTTAAAGATCAACAATTAACCAACTTAATTACCCAAAATCAAGCCTATCTACTTCTAAACCTCAGGATTAAGACCTAGGATGTTATTGACCCACTAGTTGACAGAAGATGCGCTCATATGGTTTATACAAGCGATGACCATCACGAGGAAACATTAAGATTCAAATGTTGAAAGTTCAGGATTAAGCATCTAAC